GCACCCTAATAGCAATGCAAATTGGTCCTCCCCACACATCAGTTTAATTATTTTATCAGCAGACAGGTGTGGTAACTATCCCTAGCTGATCTGCACAAATCTACTGAGGGGTGCAAGTGCACCTCCTGTTTGGAAGTAGATAATGGCTACACACACCTAGCAGCTAGGCCATAGAACAGAAGACATGGATAAAACAGCTATTCATAAATGCCAGAAGCATGCATTATGCCTCTCTGTCCCTCTTGCAATTTCGGTAAAACTTTGCTAAATCCCCTCCTGAGCCATCCTACCTTCCTCTTGTCAGGACTTTCCTGCTACCTGGGATTTCCTCCTATATCACCTGAATAACAAAGCTGTCATCTTCACAACATCTCACATACCTTCAACATAAAACTGCTGAATTTCTAATGTTTGTGCTCTCTCAAGCCATACACAGAGTAATTTACCCTGATATTTTATCCTTTTTCATACAAGCTCCTTGCATACCTCTCTTCCAGACACCCCATTTGTCTGTCTCATAATGAGATCAACAGCTAATATGTAAAGAAACAAGTTACAATGCATTATGATGAGCTCAAATCATAAGATTAAAGGTTTCAGTAACAATGTAGGTTGAAACTCTGCTACAGACCCACTTGAACAAGGAGAAAGGGAATGCCAGAACGGCAAGTTTAAGGTGACAAGTAACTACCAAAAAACAAGTTTCTAAGTGTATCAATTGTTTATTATTTATCACTCACTTAAGCTGATCTTTGGGGAGTGAGGGAAATTTCAAATAACCAACAATTTTCTAGAGGTAAGAGTCACATTGTTTGCAGGGAAAAGAAACAGCTGGAAAGGACTGATAAAGTCTGCCACCCTATCAGTGCCCTAGAAAGTTCAAGAAAGTTCAGCCACCCAACTGCATCACCCACAGAAAATAGATGCTTTTTTCTTGTACCAGTAAGAATGAAGTAACTCACTGCTCATGTTGCAGTGAAAACGCAGCCAACTAAGCCTGCCAGACCATGCCAAGCAAATGTTCAGTGGCCATCATCTCTGAAGAAGGGATTTCGAACCACAAGGGCAACAGGGCACCAAACAGCCAAGGTAGCATTTACAAACAAAAGATCCTGCTGTGGAGATGCAAGTCACAAGTCACAGTCCACCAGAGAGAAGGGTTTTGTGAGGAGCCATTAAAGAAGAGGTATCTTCCCAGAAGTCTGGGAAGTATTCTAGGCATAACAGTGACTCTGGTTGAACTCTATAATATGTGTTTACTCCACAGTCACCTGCTCTTCCTCACTTTCACCAACACATGGTATGAGTAAACAATGGGGTGCCATTCTAAGGCGCTAGAATAAAGAAGTTTCCATTCCAGGGCTGAGGATAGGCCTGACAAAATCAGTCTCAAAGGAGACTGGGCAACAGGTGTCAGTTGCCACAGAAGGCAGGGTGGGGGCAGAAGCAAGCGGAAAGCAGCTGATTGCTAAAAAGCAAGGATCTGAAGATGTGTTGGAGGTTATGAAAGGGGTCTCCCATGTCAAGAGAAGGGCAGCAGTGTGCACTTGGCACAGAGGGAATATTGGTGGCACTCTCCTGCTGAAGGAAAAGGGAGAGGGCAAAAAACTGTACCATAGCAAATCCAGCCATCATCAATGGCCAAAGCGGGAATGACACACTTTAGACCACTTTTTGAGTGGTTTTGGGAGTATGAAGGAGCTGGGCCTCCGATAAAAGCTTATCAGCCCCTTAGACTGTGACATTTGTTGGCTTTTCTCTTTATTTTTAAAATGGCATTGCCCTTCCTAGCCTGGAAGCCCCTCAGGCCGAGCAACTGGCAATGAAAGTGATCCCACTTAGATATATAACAATCAAGAACGAAAAAATATACGAGGGGCAGAATAGGCGACACTAGAGAGGAAGGGGGCTAGAAGCACAAAATGGGTGGGTGGGGTGGATTTGACAAGAGGGGCATTGCCTGCCAAGCATCCCCTCGTGGGTTTGGGGGGGGGAGCCGAGGTTGGCAAAAAGGGGCGCCTGGTTGAGAGGGTGCCCCTCTGTTACTTCTTTTTATTAAAAAAGAGGGAACTAAGAAGAGATAGGAGGATGTTGCCTCTGAGTCCTGAAAACCAAAAGTACCAACCCACACACACAACGCGAGCTTCGTATAGTGGGGTGGGGGAAGGACCCCAAAGGTAATACTAATAGAAAGCAGCACTAAAAAAATAAAAATAAAGAGGGAGGGTGAGAACACTCCAAGGAAGGAAGGACGCTTCGGTCGACCTGCGAAGGAAGGCAGCAAAAAAGCAAAATTACTCAGCAATGGGGGAGGACAAGGGGGGTCTGGGGAGAGTCCTGCTGCGCCCACCGCCCCAGGGAAGCACCTACCTGGGTGTGGGCGGGGGCCACCTCTCCGCCGGCAGAAGGGGCTCCCCGCTTGCCCCCCACCTTCCTCCGGGCTCGCCTGCCGCCCCTCGCCCTCCTTCTCTCTCTCCCTCTCCCTGCCTCAACGCCTGGCGCTGGAAATCAGCTGACGGGCTCCTCCAGCTGCCGCGACTCCCGCTGCAAATGTCGCAAAAGGCCCGGGCGGCGCTTGGCGGCAGGAGGGGGAGGGAGGAAGGGAGGGGGGAAGCCTCGTTGCCCTGGAGACGGAGCAGCGACCCGGCCCCCGGCGCGCTTCTCTGCGGCCCTCGCCTGGCGCTGCGCGGGGAGATGCGCGCGGTGGGTGGAGAGGGTGCGGGGTTTAAGGCAACAGGAGGAATGCATGGGGGGAAGTGCGTGCAAATCACGCAGGAGGTGTGCTAGTTTCGTTGCAAAAGGCGCTCAGTCGGGGGTTTAACTCTTCCTCCTGCCCAAGTAAACCTGCGAAGTGTTGCAGCCTTATCATCATCATTATATATTAAATGTATCTGTTGCCTTTCTTCCCCATTTGCAAAACTAACAGAAACAATAACCTCCCCCACCCCCAGTCATGGAATTGGAGAGCTGGAAAGGGACCCTGAGGGTCCTCTAGTCTAGCCCCCTAAGAATTGGTCTCTGCTTGTGCCAAATGTGCTGCAGTGACTACATTATTACATGAGCACTGTTTGATATTTTCATTTACATATATTCATTCGAAATAAGATGGGTTTATGAAGCAATTCTATATCCTCCCACCACGTTGACGAAGAATTCTACGAAACAGTAGTCAATATCCGGGATCACTGTTCAGTGTTGGACATATTTGCTTAATACACAAAGCTTCACAGCTTATCCTTCATCGTATAAAGTCTGGTACCTTGCTTCAGAGACTTTGAGACTAAAGATTTCATTTTGTACCTGTTACCTATAAAGATTGTCTATTGCGTACGTACATGGTCATCGTGTTGCCTGGACATTGCTGACGTTCTCTTTGCAACACTGGTTTGTTTGGTTACTTCCTGTGGATCACAGCAGCGAGGCCAAGCAACTTGTCTGGCCAGCCCAGGACCTCCATGCACACAGGGTTGCGCCCCAAGGAAGTCACTTACTTCACCCCCAAAGGCGCACTCATCCATTGTCTCCCAACAGAGGGATGGCAGTTCAGGCAAAATACAGGACAGGGCGGGACAGTTGGGGGGGCGCTTTTTTTTTCATCTGGTGCTGAAGTGACTTCAAAGCAATTCATTACAATCTATTGCAGATTAACAGGACAGCCCCTGTGGAATTCCTCTCTCACACACGTGGGCATAGCCAGGATTTTTGTTAGGAAGGGGCAGGCCTTTTGTTGGGGGGGGGGACACGGCAGAACCTCCGTTTGCTATGTATTTATTATTATTATTGTTTGGGGGGGAAGAGCTGCAGCTACCTCCCCCCCCCCCGGCTATGCCCATGCACAGACACACACATGCATGCAGACACACATACACATGAATTTTTAAATCTTGTCTGTGCTTGGCTACCCAGACCTTAAATACAGGACATTTCACACATCCTTTCAAATACATGTATTTGGAGAGGATCCCTCACTTGGCAGTGTGTGTGAGAGAGAAAGACCTGAAATACAGGACTGCAGTTAAGTGGTAATCAGCTCTGTTCAAGTTCAGTAGGACATCTAAGTGATGCATAGGTTTTTGGCCCCACCAGGTGTTCCACTTTATTTTGCGTTCATAATGATCTGTGTTCGTGATGCTATAGGGAGGTCACGCTTTCTCTACTGTCTGCAGAAGTTTTTGAGGTGGTCGCACTCCTAAGCCCACAAATGTTCGGGGGGAGTGGGTGGCTCACTGGAATGAATGGCGCTTAAGTCAATTACAACCGCCTTGGCCCATAGATTTCAGTGGGACCTTCGTGTCCTTGCAACCCTATGTGCATTTACTTTGGATGACCTCAAGAAGCAAAGATTTAAAAACAAAAAAATGTCGCACAACAACACACAACTCTGCAAGGCTATTCTAGTGAATCAGTTAGATCCATAAAACCCCCTATTTGGCCAGCAGCCTATCCCTACACTGTAGGCAGTTGAACTGGATTACCCTTCCAACTCTGCAAATTATACGATTCTAGTTCATAATTTTTGGGATGGGAGGTGAAATATACTCGGAGTCAAGTGTGGATTTCATGCTCTTTATTCAGCTCATAGTAGCAAGAAATGAATGTTCCCCCAAAATATCTGCATTATATACATTATTTACACAATGGGCCGCACGTGATTGGCTAATTCCGGGATTCTCCTGTAGGCCAATCAGGTTGCGGGTTCACTTCCACCTGGAGCTGGATTGGGTGGCTCCTGCGGACCAATCATACTGCTTTATTCTGGATCCTATTCAGCTCAGTACATAACAGGAGGGTGCCGGGTATGCACAGAACCGGAACCAATGCAACCGCCCATGCTTCCCCCACTTCCGCGAGCCCTGAACTATGACGGCTTCCCTGAAGAGCCAATCACTTCCGCCCACAAAGGTCACCAAGCTGAAACGGCAAGGCTTGCCAACCAATAGCGCTCCTCCCCGAAGCCGGAGGTCGCACTTTGCCCTTCTCCAAGATGTCGCCGGCGGAGTCAAGCGGGTAAACCCATAGCGGTGGAACCACAACAAAAGTCACCCACCGCCGCAAGCACTACTACCGGCGCAAACCCGAACTTTTTTTGTTATCCCCAGTGCAAAAGACGAAGCAGCGTCGTGTGCGTTTGTAAGGGGGGAGGGGAGAGAGAGGGGAAGTTTTACGCCATAGAGTCGTCGAAGCCTAGAGCGCCCAACAGGGATTCGTGACAGGAGCCTTAAGGGTGGATGTGGAGTTCAGCATCGAGACATCGCCTAGAGCGCCCAACAGAGACTCGCGACCAATGGCAGCTTTCGCCCGTTGGTTAAGTCTTTCAACCGGAAGTGTGAGCCGCCGACCCCTCCCCTCTCCCTAGGCGCGTGAACCTGGATGAACTCTCAGCCGAGGGTGCCTGAGGGGAGGAGGAAGGCGGAAGAAAGGGATGGCCGGGGCCGTGTGCGCCTGCGCGGGAGCGGTGCATGCTGGGCGCGGCCGGCCAGCCTCTCGCCCCGCCCCGCCCGCGCTCCTTTTCTTCCCGCGGTGACTTTGCACTTACCGGGCGTGTTGCTGCCGCCGCCGCCGCCGCCAGGATGGTCGGGGTGAAGGTGATCGCCAACGACGCGGACTTCCAGAGCGAGCTCAGCGCCGCCGGCTCCCGGCTAGTCGTGGCCAAGTTCACCATGAGGGGGTGAGTAGGCAGGGCCCCTTCGGGGACCCTTCGAGCGTTCACACGAGCGGACACACACACGTGTACGGCTCCCTCTCTGAAGGAAAGGGGGCTCTCCTCATCCTCCTCCCCCCCACAAAGGTCCCCGAGGACGGGAAAGGCGTTATCCCCATTGTGTCACCACATTCAGGGTTTAGTTTACCGCAGAGCTGTATCGCTCCGAGGTTGTGCCTGTTTATGGGATGTTATTTGGATTGGGGGGGGTGTTGCTGCTGCTGCTGGCTTTCTGTAGCTTTATTTTAGGTTTCCCTGCGATTCCTGTAGGAAATTACTCGGTTCGGTTTCGCATTTTAAAAAACAACAACATACTTTTTTGTTTCTAGCTACTTTTGCTACGTTGTTGCTATGTATTTTATTCGTTTTAAGCCGCCTTGAGCATAGTTTGATGGAGGCATACAAATAAATGTGTAGGCATGTAATTGTTTTATTTGTTTCGTAAGGTATGTATACACAGCTTGATGGAAAAACAGAATTTCAAAGCAGTTTACAAGAAAGATAAGACGCTAAAACCCAGGGAATTATTTTTTAACAACATGCAAAAGTTAAAACACTGAAATAAATAACAGTTAATTTGACTTTCTAAGCTTGCTCATTCATATTATTTAAAAGGCAAATATGTTAACCAGTTGTAATGAATTCAGTGACTTGGGCAGCTAACATGCCTGGGATCTGAAGCAAAATTGTCTGAGGCTATATACTGTATATGGTTCCTTTTTCTTTGCATAGCAAATGATTTCTTTTCCTAAGCTGAGATCTGAAGATTCCTGGGATCTGAAGCAAAATTGTCTGAGGCTATATACTGTATATTCCTTTTTCTTTGCATAGCAAATGATTTCTTTTCCTAAGCACACAATCATATAAGTAAGGCCTATTCAGGTCAGTGGGACTTACTCATAGGTAGGTGGGTCACAAAGTTGCAGCAGGAGGGTGTGGCGATAGAGAAAGCATATTGTCCATTACAAACGGTGAGAATAGATCTTGAGGTAGGGGCAGATGTACTTCAGGGTTGTTGTTTGCGCTGTTTGGTTTTGTGACTAGACCCTGGAGGTGCACCAACTGGAGCTAAGTGCGAAATAGTGGCTGGGAGCAGCATAACATAGTTTTAACATTAAGGCTCAAAGTGCCTTTCAGTGCATGTTCAGTCCAGTAATTCATTTTATTTCCAGAAGTCTCACTGCAAACAAGTTCATTGCTAGTTCTCCTGTTGACCATATATTGGGAGGACAGTTCTCTCTTGCCTGCTTTCCTGACAAGATCTGAAGTGAACAAGAAGCCATTGATATATTCTGATTTTTGTGTGGGTCTGATTTCACTAGTCTCGCCAATTATCACACTTCTTTAATTTTTAATTCACTTTCTAAAAGAACATAATGAAGCAACAGGTTCAGAAGCAGGAAGGAGCCCTATTGAATATGGTGTTCAGAATGCCAGCGTCAACTGGTGAGAGTTCTGTGGGATAGTCCTCACAACTTGAACCCTTTTCAGGGCTACTTCACACATTACAGAATTTCTGTTACGAACAGTGTGCAGCCTGCCTTTACGTAGTTACTGTTAGCTCATGTGTTGCAAGTACATGCACATGTGGGAAGCTTGCCACCATCACAGCCAAGTTGTGTGACAGCAAGTAAGCAGCATGTACCGTATTTTTTGCACCATAACACTCACTTTTTTCCTCCTAAAAAGTAAGGGGAAATGTCTGTGCGTGTTATGGAAGGAATGCCTACGGGTGGCATGCCTACGGATTTTCCTCCTCTAAAAACTACGTGCGTGTTATGGTCGGGTGTGTTATAGAGCGAAAAATACGGTAATTTCCTGTGCAAAACAAAAGTTTTGTGGCATGACTCAGATAGGGAGCAGTTGGGGATGAAGGGAGAGGGAACAGGTTTTCAAAGCTGCCTACCCCAATAAGCACATAGTTGAAATGGCATGCTTTATTGTTTTATTTACTCTGCCTTTTAGGGCAAGCCCTATAGCAATAAAAATGCAGCCATTGAACAAACAGCAGACAAAACAATCTCTAGGGGTCCAGCAATAGTATCAGTACAAAGACTTGGCAGAATTTTTAAAAAGACCTTCTGATTTGCTTAAGCCTGCAAGAGGGAGGGCTAAACAGTGCTTTTGGGTGACAGGATATTCACAAAGTGATATCTTTACATCTGCTGGGCTCTGCTTCAGAGTTATAGCCTGAGCTGTTGTTTCTCTGTAGAGTCATCATCATTCCCCAGATTTGTTACTACAACTTCGTCTTTCTCTGGGAACTAAACCCACACCCTAATTTGGGTTTCAGTGATATCCTGTGACTAATTGCTGTACTTCCTGCTTTGGAAAAGAATGCTCCTTTTGCAGTTAGTAGGAGATATTCTGAAGGTGAAATCCTGGATTCATACTCTGGTTTGAGAGAAAATTGCAGTACGCATCATGGTAAACCATAGTTATCACTAACTTCGAAAGTGGAGAAATAAGGAGTATATATGCACAAGGGTAGAGGAGGACCATGTGTGTTTGTAGGAGTTCCCAGTTGCTAAACTACAGTTTGGCGATTAGAAATAGGACACTTGAATAGATCTGATTCATTAAGTTGGTGTGATGGTATAGAAGAGTACACAGTCCAAAGTTGGCAGTTTGGTTGGGATTATAACCTCACACAGGGTAGTCTGGGAAATGTTATTTGACATGGGAAAACTAAGTGAAAAGGGAGCTCAAACAAGTATGGTCCTGAGTAAAAAAGGAATGTTACAGACATGGGGTTGAATAAAGGCACTGTAAAGGGCGCGGGTGGCGCTGTGGGTTAAACCACAGAGCCTAGTGCTTGCCGATCAGAAGGTCAGCAGTTCGAATCCCCACAACAGGGTACGCTCCAAAAGCATAAAGTGCAAGTAGATAAATAGGTACCGCTCTGGCGGGAAGGTAAACGGCGTTTCCGTGTGCTGCTCTGGTTCGCCAGAAGCAGCTTAGTCATGCTGGCCACATGACCCAGCTGTACGCCGGCTCTCACGGCCAGTAAAGCGAGGTGAGCGCCGAAACCCCAGAGTTGACTACGACTGGACCCAACAGTCAGTGATCCCTTTACCTTTACCTTTTAAAGGACCTGAACCAAAACATCACCTGAGACCCATCAACAGAAGTGGGATCTACTGTGCGTTACAAGGAAGGAGCATATGGGCAATTGGTTTGCTAGGCCCACTCTAGACCTTGTCATGGCAATTTGGGCAGTTGTGGTTTCTGCTATTGTTGAAACTAGAGCCAATCAGCATTGATGTGTGTGAGTTAGAGAAAGCTTCACTTATTTATTTAAACCAGCCAACCAACTGTTGGGTTGCAGATTTCTAGCTATTCATTTAATGTTTGTTCATTTGCTGGCAGTCTGTGTAACAGGCAGTAGGGAATAGCAGGTAGTACTGGGTGGATCAGTCAGGGTGGGGCAACTTCAGTAGGACCTGAAGAAATAATATCACAACTAGTATGTCTACTGACACTGGCACTGGATGTATTTCTGAACAGCTAAAGAGCCGGCCGGTAGCCGTGTAATAAGTTTTGGAAAGTTGTAAGGTGCCACGTGCTTGCACCTAATCTTAACCGGGATTGAACCTGATCAGAACTCATTTGGTACCAGCTTTTGCAATTTTGCATGAGAACAAGCTAACCAGCAATAGTACTGGTTAGCTGAGCATTATTGGCCATGTGAGAGAGCTAATTCTTTCAGTTTTAAAAATTGGTAAGGTGGACTGAAAGGATGGCTAAACTGGTGGCTAGGGTCTGAATTTGCCTCATGCTGGTCCTTTTTTATATTCACTAGATTTTGATTGGACTTGCAGAAATATTATTTTGTGGCGCCATTTACACCCATAATTCATCTTGAAATTATTGGAGATATCTGTTGGCTTCTAATCAGTTTTTAAATGAAAATAGGATAGAGCTACTAGTGAAATGGTCACCTGCTATTTGACGATATTGGGCCACAGTCAGATTTTGTAAGGAGCCAAGAAGATGGTGGTACCCAGCTTCCTTCGCTGAATCATCATATCCTCTGATAGTGAAGATATGGAGGAAGGATTGTCCTTTCTCCCTACCATAGCCATGGTGTCTTGTGTGACAATTTTTGATGATTTCTCATGGAGGCTATCCCTTGGGGTCGTCAACAAGACCCAAAATGAACTTTTGTATCTCTTGACAGTTGCTTATGTTAGCTACATCATAATACCTTGGCCTTCATAATGGTTAACTGTATTAAAGTACTTGGCCATTATTCGATGGTGATTGTCTGGTCAAATAACAACAACAACAACAATTTATTATTCATACCCTGCCTGTCTGGTTGGGTTTCCCCAGCCACTCTAGGCGGCTTACAGCACACAAGAAATTGTAAAACATCAGACATTTAAAATTTCCCAATGCAGAGTTGCCTTCAGCTAACTTTTGTTTTTTTGTCATATGTCTAACCCTCCACTGAAATATGCTATCTTGTTTTTCACTGGGACCCATTCTGTTGTGACTACAGGAATAGATTTCCATTTTAATCAGTATAGTTCTGTCCTTCCTGATTCCACTATGTAAATAAGTGCCAACTCACAGAATACTTCTGCCTTGCCTACAATAAGGTCTGGAGGTAGAAGCCAGAATTGTGATCAAGCCCTGTAAAGATAGAGAATTTGTCCTAAATCCCCTTATTAACTGATGTGAAGTTTTCAGAGCTGTCTCTTTGGTTATGTCCTATTGCAGTATTGAACGGTTGCGATTGGTAATTTTCTGTAGCAAAGTCATTCTCTGCAGTCAGCTTTTACAGTGGAAAATCAGTAGGACATCATTGGTGTCATCCACTGGCAGAGAAACTGTTGACAAACATTCTGAAAATGACTAAGCTTATTATCCTGACCTACAGAGGTCTGTATAGTAGAGAGACCTAGTAGTTTGGGGTAATTGAAATTCTCTAATGCTGCTAGCAATAAGCTTTAAACACAGACGTAAGTGCTAGTTGTAACCAAATTGCCCCTTTCCCAAATAATGGTTTGGATACTTGAGCAAAGTCATTGTAAATAAGGAATGAAAGGCGGGGGAGCAATGAGAAGTGATGGTGCTGTATTGCTTTTTCTGCTGATGGGAAAACATATTTTGCTCAAGCTGTGTTTTCCATAGAATTCTCTTCCCATGCCGGCCAGTTTGATAAGAGGCCTTTGAGACAGACTGAGGTATTTCAAGGTCAGTGTAATTGTGCATTTTGCTGAGATGCTTTGTTGATGGATGGTTTCATTTTTAACGTTATGACTATGTATTTTTACTATTGCTGTATTTTTACATAGTCTGTAACTATACTGGGTGAATAGATGAAGAGCAGATTCAAAGTTGATTAAGCAATAAACAAAGAAAATTGTGTTCTTGTCTAATTATTGAAGCTGCTCGTGATGTTTTTCTTGCACTACTTTTACCTTTCTCCCTCCTTGTAATGGATAGATTAGAAGATAGTCATATTTCTTTGCTGACTTCAGGGGAGGGGGAAATCAAAATTTTTCTTTTTTTAAGCCAGGTGCATGGCTCTGCACAGTTGTTTGTATTCAGGAATGTGAAGTAGGAACATAAAATATTGGAATGGTGTGTATGGATCCCCCACCTTGGCAGCTGCCAGCATAAAAATAATTTCCCTTACTCTTGAGTTATCAACGTATTGATTAGGGTCTGGGGAGACCAGAAGCAATACAAGTCTTTCACACTCTTTCTGCTTTCCTCTGAAGCAGGGTGGAAGATGAGCTATCCACTCTTCCCTCCCGCTGAATTCTCTGTGCAAATCGAATGACTTTGGGAGGAGAGGGAGGGAATTGGTGTCATTCACAAATAATGGATTGCTCAGTTAAGTGGAGCCAAAATCTGTGGCTCCTTGACACTGGAAATGTGAACCCAACATGGAGAGAAATATTTAATAATCATAAATCAGAGGTGCTGTGTTGGTGTTAGTGTGCATGCAAAGTGGGCCACAGAAATATTCGTATGTGGGGTGTGTGAGAGAGAAGATGCAAATTTTCACAACTCCTTTCCTATGCTTGCTTTAGTAAGTCTTGGAATGAAGCAAAAGGTGCTGTGTTGTACTCTCCAGAGAGCAATATATTTTAATAAGCAAGAATTATTACATCACGAGAAAGCTGGATGTTTACTTACAGCTTGGGGAGTATTCTTTATGAGAACCATTAAGTTCTCATGGTTTTCTTGTTACCTATAGTCCCTGAGCACTGTGAGAGATGTGTTTCTAATGCCAAGCACTATGAGATGTGTTTCTAATGCCAAGCTTTGAGACGGTTTTCTACGAAAGGGCGATCGCTGTGGGATTGCAATTGAGTAGAAAAGGATCTTGCTTTACATAGGCTAACCTGTATGCTTTCATTATGTATTTTGTTGAGAAATGATGATGTAGTCAAGTTGACTTGAAAAAGTGTCGGATATCAATCTCCTTGGTCTGAAGCTAGATGTTTTGGAGATTGCATGCAGCCAGTGCCAAAAGCAGAAGCCCTGCATCTCCTCTAGGGCTGGGTGATATAGCAATAGTCCATATCGTGGTATCAGTTTCATAATTTTTGACTTGGCAATATAGCACAAATCATGATGTGTGTGTGTGTGTATGTATGCTATGCAAAAATCACAATGTGGGGAAAACTGTGAAGCCAGCCAATGCCTCTACATAGCTCCATCCTTATTTCACATGTTGTAATATATCAGTATATCACGATGTTTAGCTGGTGATATATCACAGACTTGGAAACCAGATATCTCCCAGCCCTAATCTCCTTCCCTGTAGCATCTAGCAAGCTAAAACACACGTTGTGACTTAGGGTGGCAATGAAACTTACAATGCTGCTATCAGCAGCCAAAGAAAATGGGAGAGAAGGCCAGGTGCATAATGGTGGTTTATTTTACACCCCACTTTCCTTCAGCAGAGCTTGATGGATCTCACTTCATACTACTGGGAGGAAGAAGAGATGGCAGTGTGAGGGTTGGTGTTCTTAGTACCAGCCGCACAATCTCTGTTATCCTTAGCTTTAGCCTACTTTACCATGTGAATCCCAAGGGGGCTGCAGTTATCTAAGTGGACGTGCTGATGTGTGTTGTCCTTTTCTTCCCCCTGACAGATGTGGCCCATGTTTAAGGATAGCCCCTGCTTTCAACGCTCTGAGCAATAAATATCCCCAAGCGACATTTTTAGAAGTGGATGTGCATCAATGCCAGGTGAGTAGTGTTTGTGTATGTGTGCATGAGCATGTGTCAGTGAACAAGAGTTAACTCTTACAGGTGTATTTTTTTGGTATGTGGGATATAAATGCAGTCCAGAAATAAAATAAATATTTAAAACATTTTTTCTAGAAGCCTGTTGGCAATCACTGGGCACACCTACCTCAGAGGAGGAATAGGCTGTAGATTGTCCTCTAAAAGGCAAGATTGGCAATTATCAGGAGGGGAATGCCATGTAAATGTGTAAGGGTTAAGTTTTATAAAGCTACTGCTTCTCATGTTGTTATTGGCAAGAATTTGAGATATATGTTGGTAGAGTTTGTTTGCTGCTGTGGGTGAAGGTACATTCAACTGTAGACAGATCTATCCATGACAACCATTTTAAGTCGGTGGTTCAAAACAAGCAAGCTGTCATGTGATGGATGCAATGAACCCATGGTAAATTGGGTCATTTAAATTTTGTTTTTTTATTTGAATGCTGTGGTTACATTTATCAGTAGTCTACCAGTTTGCCTATACCAGTGTCTGAATCAAATATTGGCCAGATATAATGAACGTCCGGGCTTTCTCCTAACTCTCGTTGATTTCTCCACTGAAATGCAGAGAAGGTGACATAAAACTCCAAATATTAATCAGGTTGTATTGCCAGATTTGGGGAAAAACTTGTAATATAGAGCTGGATCCAGAAGGGACCCCCAAACTGCGAAGCTGCTCCTTCAGGGGGAGTGCAACCCCACCCAGGGCAGGCAAATAACCGATTTCTCAGGCACAGAAACTACTTACCCACAGGGCCTTCATATTGCCAGGATTCAAGTTCAGCTTGTTTTCCTCAACCATTTCACCACTGCATCCAGACAATGGCTGAGGGATTGTGCTGCCTCTCCTAATTCAGATCTTTTTAGAGTACGACACAAATCTTAAATAATCAATATTACGAGGGTTAGGAATAGAAAGTTCTGCTGAGGTGACATTTTATGATGTGTGACTGCAGTGGATAGAAAGGTTCAATTCAGCTGGCCTTTTGAGTGACTCCGCTTCAACCCTCTGCAAGCAATGCTACATTTTTCAGCTATTAACTTGAAGCCTGGTAGTATTTAATGTCAAATTCTGGTTTCCTAGTGTTGTATAATTTGGCTACTTGGAACATATTTGGTTTGTTCTTTCTGGTATAGACGTTAAATTCATCCAATAAAAGGCTTTTTAATTATGCAGAACTATTGTTGGCATTTAACAATGCAAGTTGTACCGTAAGGCTTACATTATTAAATTTAAGCCATTAAAAAGTTGTTCATTCGCTCTTTTATGAACTAACAGTATCTTGGGTACATAGTAATAGGAGTCTTATCCTTATTCTCAGTATAGTTATAAAACTTTGGTAAATATCATTTGGTGCAGTTTAATTTCGGGTGGTGCACAGAGTCTGAAGAAACTTGTGAGTGGTCTTTGAAGCAAAATTTTTAAAAAGAATGTGGCAGTACAGTGTTCTTTCCCTTGTTGTGCAGGAGAAAGCTGGCTCTAATAGTCCTTGGCTAAGGCTTAAGCCTGTATCTCATCTCATGTGCAAAAACAAGATTACATATATAGGGATCCTGGCCACATCTAAAAGTGCATGGAGAGATAGTAATAGGATCATAATGTGCTTCACTTTTGTGAGGGGAAGACATTCAGAGAGCTTTTAAGTGTCTTCTTTGTCTTTCAACAGTGGATATGTGACTCCTGCTTGTCAACTTTTTCACAGTGCTTTCAAAACTGCTGCAAAATTTGACACTTGGCCAGTTCAGATGTAAACTACATGGGTTAATAAATCATAGCTTATTAAGAATTAGTGTTTCCCTTTGCTCCTCCCTTGCACATCATCTTCATTGTTCCTATCAGGGATTATTAAATTGAGATCATTATGTCTGAACCAGCCCAGTGGCTCAATTCAGGCACCATGCCTAACGATGGCTTGAGCTTACAAATAATATATAACAGGCAAACAATGTTTTAGCTGCTCTTCTGTGTTACCGTATTTTTCGCACCATAGGGCGCACCGGACCATAGGGCGCACCCAGTTTTTTGGGGGGGAAATAAAGGGGAAAAAATTATTTCCCCCCCAGGCGCGGGGCTGGGGCGGGGGAAGCTCGAGCTTCCCCCGACCCCAGCCCCAAACAGGCAGCTCTCTGCAAGCCGTGGGAGCGCTCCCACAGCTTGCTGAGAGGTCCGCGAAGCCTGGACGCGCTGAGCTCAGCGCGCGCAGGCTTCAGCATGCAGGCAAGTCTCCGCAAGCAGGGGGAACGCTCCCGCTGCTTGCGGAGAGGTCCGCGAAGCCTGGAGAGCGTGAGGGTCGGTGAGCACCGACCCCTCTCACTCTCCAGGCTTCAGCGAAAGCCTGCATTCGCACCATAGGACGCACACACATTTCCCCTTCATTTTTGGAGGGGAAAAAAGTGCGTCCTATGGTGCGAAAAATACGGTACTTTCTCCATGCTCAGATTCATGCAATCACTCCCACCCTTATGGTGCAGCCACCTCTGGAAGTGGGGCAATGGTCATAAGCAGTGTTTGTCATTTCAGACATCTCATCAAACTGTAGTTTGCAAAATCATGCTTTCTTAAATGCAGTTCAGTATGGCATCTGAACTGAGCAAATGTACCAATATCTTTTACATACATGCCACGAGAAGCTTCATTTTATGGTAGCCTTTAGCACATGCTACCAAAAGTACAGTCATACCTCGTGTTACGTTTGCTTCACGTTGCGGCTTTTCAGGTTACGAACGCAGCAAACCCGGAAGTGTTTACTTCCAGGTTCACCATGCGCAGAAAGCGATCTGAACGCTTCACACATGCGCAAAAGCGCTCTATTGCACACACACACAGTTGTGGTGCTCTACTTAGGGACTTTTTGGGGTGCAAGTAGCACCCTGAAATGGATCGTGTTCATAAGTAGAGATACACCTGTATTAAAAAGTAATCATGAACACCTTTTTCTCTGTTGGGGAACAACATAGAAAATTGTATTTCCAGTTAGCACTATTTTTGCATGTAAGCAGCAAACATGCTGCTGACGATTATGTGGATGACCTGGGATGATTGGTACTCTTTTGTTCATTAAATACTAAAATCTTGCTACACATTGCTAACCGTTGACTTCTCAATGCTAGGGAACAGCTGCAACCAATAATATATCGGCAACCCCAACGTTTCTTTTCTTCCGGAGCAAAGTGCGCATCGACCAGTATCAAGGTGCCGACGCTGCTGGATTGGAAGAGAAAATCAAACAGCACCTAGAAAACGATCCTGGAAATAATGAGGATACCGATATTCCAAAAGGATATGTATGTATATTTTATCTGGATACTATTCTAGTGGATTATTATCTGCGCAGTATTAAAAGATTTGCATCCGAAAGGATCCAGAGGATCAGGATGGAGCTTCCATGGAGGTGCAAAAGCTCTTTGCATGATCTGGGACTTCTGAGGGTCCCCTTTCCACTGCACTCCCTCCTTGCTCTCCTCCTCCCCTTAAATAATGCCTTTGAAAGTTAGAACTTCACCTCCAACACAGGCAGCCTCTGTTGCATCAGGAGGGAGGGAGAGATACAGAATGTATTGATGCATTTGAAAGTTAAGAGTACTTTTTGAATCCTGGCCCAGATTATAGAATTTTGAATTTCTCTTTCTCCATCCCTCCACCCCTTCTCTCTCTCTCTCTCTCTCTCTCTCTCTCACACACACACACACACACTCAAACACAAACACACTGAGCTCTTTCTGTTACTGCTCTTACTGCACATGCAAAGTCTTTATAGCTTGTGCTCACAACAGGCCTCTTGTCTAGCAGCTGTGGAAAGGGGAAATTTTATGTTGGGGATTATTAGGAAGAGGATTGAAAATAAAACTGGTGATAACATAATACCTTTATATGAACATATGGTGCGTATGCAGAACTGCATACAGTTCCGGTAGCCGAACAGGTTATTGAAGACCTGGAAAATGTTCAAAAAGGGGTACTAAAATGTGTAATGTTGCTTGGTGTCTAGGGAGCACATAACCCTCAAAATACAAATCCCCTTTCAGGTGGTTTTTTTAAAAAAAGCAACCCCACATTCTCCTGGTTATGGATTCTGCCCTGAAGAGCTGGGAACAGTTTTTCCCAAGGCACAGAAAAACAAAAGTGGTCAGATCCACAGCAAGTCCACATAGCTATTGGGATTAGCCAAAATGTCTTAAATCATGTGCAGGTGTTTGAGTTCTCTAGAACTTTTAATTGGGGCAGGATCCTACACTAAGCAGTGGAGTGGAGGGGAGTTTTAAAAACTTTTAGTCCAGATCTTGAAGTCTTGAGACCAGAATTTCTAATCATCTTTTTGTCAAACACCACCTTCAAGGTTTTTGCCTTGACTTAAGAGAAGATAGCTGTCAGCAGATTTTTTTTTTTTTAAAAAACCATCTTTCCTTGTTGAGGTTTTACCTTGGGGCTCCTGAATGTTGCAAATCAGGGCTTGTCTGACAGCTGGAGTGACACGTACATGTAAATGAGAACCTTAATGTGACAAAACACTCAACTGGAGCTGTCATCTTCATGACAGTTTCTGAGCATCATTTGATATAATATTCCTCTTAAAAGGGGTCAGCTTTTGCATCCTGCCCAAAATATTAATACAACCCCTGACAGAGTACAGTGTTTAATATTTCAGCCAAGTGCCAGCACAGCTAATAGTTCAGTAGCTCAATAAAAGCACACCCAGCTGCTGCAGTGCTGTGATGGTTTGTTTTCCAAATTAGCAAATGCAATCCATTAGCCTTTGCTGGGAAACTGTATGTGCTAACCTAGAATTATGTTAAATGCAAGAATGCATCTCTTTTGAGATGTTAAGTACTTTAAATTCACAGCTAAATAGACGCAATCCCTGCTACCCAGTTTACCTTTTCAGCTGAATCTTTTTCCTGTAAATAACCCCGTGAATATAGGCCACTTGCATTTGTACTAGTTCAGATTTACAAATGTTGTCTGTACTGCTGTGTTCATTGCGTCTAGTGTGAATGCAAATAGTTAAGCAAATAGTTAAATGTAATAAGCAGTTGTAGCAGCTTTGACTTCCAACGAGGCATTTGCTTCTAAAGCTTTTCAAAACTGTCCTGAAGGACACAAAAGTGAAGGATTGCAGAATTGTACTTGGACTGTCTTTTCAATTAGGTAAATAGATTTTCCCTCCTTTGGTGTTTATCTTTGTTTTTATTATTTCAAGTGTTCTGTTTCTATATTGCCGTCTTGCCAAAGCGCTCATTGTAATTTATGACACGAAACAACAACATACAGCAGCCTTCTCCAGCCAGGTGCCCACCAGGTGTTTTGGGCTACAACTCCCATCCCAGCCAGCATGGCCAATGGTCAGGAATGGTTGGAGTCATCCAAAGTATGTGGAGGGCACTGTTAGTTAAATTCAGCTCTGGTCCTCCGAGCTGATATGGCTCATCTTGGCTTGAGCCCAGCAGAGTATAACCCAGAGTCCACAACGAAAGTATGAGGCAGGTATGGCTACATTGCTAAGCTTTATTACTAAGCTATGCTGAGAGCATACAAATATACACCTTGTCTCTCTGAGAAGCAGAGAGCAACTCCAACAAAGAAACGACAGTACAAAGGAAACCAGTAAACGTCACATCCCGTCTCCCTTTCCCGTGGGAATCCAACAGTATCTAGACTGTGGAATGAAAACATAGTCCTGTGACTACCAGCAGCTGCTCAGTGAGGGAAACAGAAACCAACAGGCAGCAGGTTTGGGATAAGGGATGAGAAAACGGTGGGTAGGAAAGAGAAGAGAAGGGATGATCAATCTGTATGGAAAAATAAGTGCCGCTTGGTTTTGCATGTTTATCCCCTGTAAATGTCTTATAAATGTATAGCCCGGCCAGGTGATCATTGTCACTGTCTCTTACTTCTAGATGGATTTGATGCCATTCGTTAATAAAGCTGGCTGTGAATGCCTTAATGAAAGTGATGAACACGGGTTTGATAACTGTTTACGTAAAGACTCTACCTTCCTGGAATCAGACTGTGACGAACAGGTATTTTGCCTTCCAGAGAATATTGCATTATACTGTCAAAAGGACAAAGGTGTTCTTTTGGCTAGAATTCTCTTCTTTAGTCGTTTAGTCGTGTCCGACTCTTCGTGACCCCATGGACCAGAGCACGCCAGGCACTCCTGTCTTCCACCGCCTCCCGCAGTTTGGTCAGGCTCATGTTTGTAGCTTCGAGAACACTATCTTTGGCTAGAATAGTACTCCCAATTGTATGCATGTTTAAAATACTTCATCTGGGGTCTAAGTTGGTGGTGACCATCTGGGAAACAATAGCATTCTAAATCCATGTGCAGTAATGTTGTGGGTCAATGCATTTGAGATCCCTCTTAGATTTTTTTTCCCTTTTGCTCTCTCCACAGCTGCTTATTACGGTAGCTTTTAATCAGCCTGTCAAGCTTTATTCTATGAAGTTTCAAGGGCCTGATAATGGTGAGTAAAATAATAATAATAATAATAATAAAATTATTTATATCCCGCCCTCCCCAGCTGAAGCCGGGCTCAGGGCGGCTAACAACAATAAAACAGTACAAAAGTACAGCATAAACAACATTCTAAAATCATTCATTATAAAATTAATTATAAAAAGATTTCTTCTTTCAAGAGAAACCATCTATGCATGCAGCCGCTGTTGATTTTAAAAATACAAAGCACAAGACACAGGTTCCTTGCTTGTGACCCTGTTCTCTTGCTCCTAAGTCTTAAAGTCTGGACCTGACCATCAAGCACATTGCCGCCATACCATCAAGTTTCTGCAAATGCACTCCAGGCAGTGCAAAACTTTGCAAAACAAGCTGGCTACTCCGGTTTTGCTGGCATATTTCCAAGAATCTGCATTTACGAAATTATGTGTTGTGTCACTTTTGTCAGGTGACATGTCAGCATAGCTACCTTTTGGTATCATTGTTCTGAAGACCGTGGTTGCTAATAACGTTAATTTCTGTTACACCTATTTTAATTGTGTGTGGTACATATATTGAAATGAAGGCATGAGCTCTGCCCTGAGAAGGCTAGGAACACACTCCTCCGCAATAGGAATGGAGTCTGGACAAGTCCATTTAACCTTCTCCCCAGCTGAGGTTGGAATTGTGCTATGTGTAGTCACTTTAATGCTTTAGCCTGCTAAGGGTGGTGCAGCCCTTACTAACTAATTAAAGTTATAAAATTTAAGCGAGTGATGTGCTTGCTTCTGATAGAAGGTTCTTTGCCTCGGGGTGCAGATTGGACATCATAATTTGCCTGTCTCTTCTGAATCTACATAATTTTGTACACAGAAGAACTTTGAAATACTGTCAAGTATATAAGATCATGTTTTGAGGGTTTTTAAAAGATTCAGTGGCATTTTTTTAAATCGCAGGTCAAGGTCCAAAGTATATAAAAGTATTTATCAACCTCCCTCGATCAATGGATTTTGAAGAGGCAGAAAGAAGCGAACCCACTCAGGCCCTGGAGTTAACGCCAGATGATATCAAAGAAGACAGTATTATCCAACTCCGCTATGTAAAGTTTCAGAACGTTAACAGTGTAACTGTGAGTATAAACCTTCGAATTCATTCCTGGTTAACAGAATCCTATGACATTATAAAAGGCTGACTCCAAAGCATGGTAGATCCGCCAATAACCTTTGCCACTTCCACCATAGTTTTAATGCAGTGAAGCCCAGCTATGTTTTTCCCCCTCTTGCCTCTTAGATACAGCAACTGGTAGGGATCGGAGCCTGGAATATTCAGGCTTGCCAGACCCAGCTCCTGTCAAGCTTGAGAGAGAGGAGAACAAAGTGAAGATGGGTCTGGGCAGACAAAATCACTATTTTGCAAGCAGCAGCAAAAATCCCTTTTGTTTTGTAGACTAGCAAGAAAACCTGATCCAGTCCCATACAACCTATTTTCATCTGTTGTTTCCAAGAGGCTTATTTGAAGGTCTAGCTTTTTACCTTGATACCTACTTGTTACTTTGACTTGGTAGCCATATTGTATTAATACAGTGGTACTCATTTTATGAACTTAATCCATTCCTGAAGTCCGTTCTTAAACCAAATCCATTCTTAATCTGAGGCACGCTTTCCCTAATGAGGCCTCCTGCCGCCAGTGCCCTTCAACTGTTCGGCTTCTGTTTGTAGACCGAGGCAAAGTTCGCAAACCAGAACACTACTTCCGGTTTTTCAGATTTCGTAAACCGAATACAGTGGTGCCCCGCAAGACGAATGCCTCGCAATATGAAAACCCGCTAGACGAAAGGGTTTTCCGTTTTTGAGTTGCTTCGCAAGACAAATTTCCCTATGGGCTTGCTTCGCAAGACGAAAACGTCTTGCGAGTCTTGCGATTTTTTTCGCTCCCCCCCCCTTTCTCTAAGCCGCTAATAGCCTTTTAGCCGCTAAGCCTTTAATAGCCGCTAATAGCGCTAAGCCGCTAATAGGGTTGCTTCGCAAGACGAAAAAACCACTAGACGAAGAGACTCGTGGAACGGATTATTTTTGTCTTGCGAGGCACCACTGTACAGTAGTTCATAAACAAGACTGTTCGTAAACCGAGGTACCACTGTACTCATCACTAGTTCCCCCAATATCTCCCCCAAAGTCTTATTTGGTCCTTCAACGGAGGTTGGGAAGGAGGCAGGGATCTCCTTTATTTGCACTGAGGGTTTCAGGAGGTCAGGATTGGCAGGATTCTTCTCACACTTATTCTTTTCGAACCTCAGTGCAAATGCAGGCTCAGAGGACGGATTGCTTACTAGTTGGGCATCCTTCTCACCAGATGGCCAAGGACACTTGACCCCAGCAAGCTTAGAAGTGGATTTGGTGAACAGTAGTGTAACTACTATTCACCAAATACGCGGGTGGCGCTGTGGATTAAACCACAGAGCCTAGGACTTGCCTAGGTCAGGTGGTCAGCAGTTTGAATCCCCGTGACGGGGTGAGCTCCCATTGCTCGGTCCCTGCTCCTGCCAACCTAGCAGTTCGAAAGCACGTCAAAGTGCAAGTAGATAAATAGGTACCACTCCGGCGGGAAGGTAAATGGTGTTTCCATATGCAGCACTGGTTCGCCAGAAGCGGCTTAGTCATGCTGGCCACATGACCCGGAAGCTGTACGCCAGCTCCCTCGGCCAATAAAGTGAGATGAGCGCCGCAACCCCAGAGTCGGTCACGACTGGACCTAATGGTCAGGGATCCCTTTACCTTTAGTGTAACTCAACTCTTTTGGCCAGAAGGTGGTGACATCCTTTAACTGCCTGGTTCAAGCTCCACCGTGGACTTGAATCCTATCACTTGGTTAATACAACCCAAACATTTTCCATTAACAAACTTGAATGGGTAGACTAGTCAGCCCTGTCCCATCTTCCCTTCCCTTCCCTTTGCTTTTCCCTGAACTTCAAATAAGTTGACTATTTTGTGGGCTATTGGATCCCTCCACATCATGTAACTCAGTACTTATCTTTTCCATTTCAGTTATTTGTCCAGTCCAATCAAGGTAATGAAGAGACGACGAGAATTTCATATTTCACATTTATCGGAACACCAGTCCAAGCAACAAACATGAATGATTTTAAGCGGGTATGTTCAAATCTGTCTTTTAAATTGGAGACTGGATTGCAGTTTTTAAAAGCTGCAAGGGACAGTGAACAGCTCCCCATCACTGTAATAAATTGTGAGTTCTGACTCTTCAAAGGTCTTCCATTCCCACTGCAACTGATGTAGCCTTTTCGCTTTAAAAAAAATGAAGAGTGGAATTTGTCTTGGATATCCTGCCTTTATGAAGTGTCCAAAGAATGCACGGTTGCTTTAAAACGTTTGCAGAGCCAAATGACCTCTTAAGCCAGGGTTTTCCAGAATTGATTGCTTTATCTCCAAGAGGCCAGAGAGAAGAGGAGAGGGAGAAGACAACTGTGGCTTTTAGTCTACTTTTCTATGGTAGTGAATATGGAGCCATGTTCAGATAAATACGAAAACCGGTTTTCTGTATAAAAAACATATGTCTTCATGCATAATAATAATAATGATGTTATTCTGCCTCCAATTCTGTAATGGCAGAATATAAGAAGCTCTGCTGGACAGTAGCAATGGAGACTATAAAAAGCCAGCAACACAACTGGAGGAATAAGAGAAATTGTGAATCGTGTTAGTCCTTTGATCTTTAGATGCCCTGTTTAGGTACTCTATAGCTTCTCAGCCTTTCCTAACCTGGTGTTTTCCAGATATTTTCAACTAGACCTTCCATCACCCCTGACCATTGGCCATGCCTCATGGGGCTGATGAGAGTTATAGATCAAAACCTCTATAGGACACTAGATTGAGGAAGCTGCTATAAAGGGTAGCAGTCTGTTTCTCCCCCAGATTCTTAGCTTGTGCTGTAAACCCACAGATGTGATAAATAATACTGGGCTGACAACAAGTGTTGTCAGCTACCTAAAAGGCAATGTTGCAAGGCAGAGGAAAGTGGGTCTCACCTTGTTAATTAATTAGCCTATACCAGATGTGGAGAACCTTTGGGCTTCCAAATGCTTCTGAACTAGATTTCCTTCCAGCCCCAGCAAGCATGGCCCAGTGCTGTAGTTGTGAAACATCTGGCGGGCCAAAGATTCCCCACACCCACTCTGTATAGTGCAATTTAGATGATGCTTTTGAAAGGAAACAAGATGTGATAGGGGCATTTGGGGGAATCCCTGACTTAAGAAGTGCATTTAAATATTGCAAATGTGCATGGTATTTTGTATGCAGTCATGTTCGGAGCGAAGGAAACTCTTTGCACAGAAAACTTGATCATTTGCCTCAAGTGATCAAGGTTTACTTGAGTTGCTGTGCGCTGCCCACAAAAACTTCTTAACCGTTTATGGTGTGTTTTAGTCTTCATGTTTGTCTGCCCAGTAAGTATTCTATACTCCATGTCAGGACCATCAAAAGAGCTTTTTCAGATACTGGGCAAAAGTAGGAGAAATGTGTTAGCATTATGTGTTCTGGGTACTGTAAGATAGAGTACAATAATGAAATAGAAGAGCTTTGGGTAGCCAGTAGGAGAACAGATGCAATGGAAAGCAGGGCGCCTGTACTTTTCATAGGTGTGTGGAAATAATAGATTTTATTGGATGCAGCTTGCCATGCAAGAGAGAGAGAAAACCTGCACCTAGTAAAATTATTACTTCTGTGTATCCTAAAAGGCAAAGAGCCTTGTCCTTGTGACAGTAGAATTATCTATCTGATCACTGACATTGCAATTCTATATGTTTCGACTCAAAACATCCTGTAGATTTCAATTTGGGAGTACTGTATAGGATTGCACCCAAAAGCGTTGTAGTGAAAAATAATATATATTGCTTAGCTAAACTGTAGTTTTTATGTGCACATACTGAGATTAATTGGGGTGTTAATGGTCCATTATTAAATAAACAATACTGAATATTTAAAGTTTTGCAAGTTACACCAAAGTTTTTAAAGGCAGGGATGGAACTAAATCCAGATTTTTAAAAGAGGTGCATTCCTTTTTAGCGACTTAAGTTAAATGTGCATTGGAAAAGAAGGGGGTGATTCTGCAAAGTGTTGCCCAGTATTCTTCCACGGAAAACTCGTTTCTCTTAGACAACCTTGTCTTAGTGGATGAGCTAGCTTGCCTGGAGTGTTCCTGGTGTGGCCCCCTCACCTTGCTTCAGCAGTGGTGGCATCTGTGTCTCTGAGGATGGAGTCCTGATGCTATTGCTGAGAAGATAGACCCAGCAGAGAAGTATCTGTCGTTATTGGTGCTGTGATGGTGGAAGAGGAGCTGAGAGAGCTCTCTGAATCGGATGTGCTGAATAACGACTGAGGAATACTCCTGGGAATGGTGACTAGATGAGAAGCCATTGGAGGCCAGACAGAGCCATCAGGCTGTAATTTCCCCCTCCAGCCGTAGAGATATGCAGCACTACGATATAGCTTAGCATCTATACGTAGAAGATCTGAATTGCCTCCAAAGTTCCAGAGCAAAAGCTTGGCTACATGGCATGCATAAAAATTCGGGACAGGGAACATCAGACCCAGGGGTCATATTCTGTCTCTCCACATCATTTTGTGTTCAACTTGAGAATGGGGCACCTTGGAAAATGCAAGACCAGCTTTATCGTATCAATAATGCAATGGAAGGACTTCGACTTACAGGTGTATTCAGAATAGCAAGGAAAACTGATACTTTATAGCCCTTTATTCCTGCTCCCCATAGAGGAATGTGAGTTCGATAACTTCTCCAAACTTCTGCCCCCCTCAAAATAGCTCCCCTCGCTAATATCTATTAAGGTCCTAACTTCTCCCCTCTTGCTTTAATTGGAATGTAGAGTAGACTAAAAGGCAACTGAAAGTATGACTTAAATTACACTGCCCGAAGTAACACCTAGGGGCTTTCATTTTTATTGTTGTAAGTTTCGTTTTTATTGTTGTAAGTTCTTCCATTGCTAGTATTAAGTGAAGTCTGGGAATGCTTTGCTTGCTGCATGTGTTGCTCAAACTTTGCAGGCTTAAAATGCAGAGACGTGCGCGGGAAGGCAGAGAGAGGGAGAGCAATCTTTGCTGCTTAGGTCAGAGTAAGGCTTGGCATGACCTTTTTCGTTTGCATAGATTTCATTGCTAATTTGAAATGCCAGATGTTAGGTTAAGTCCATATTTGGGGGGGGGCGACAGCAGAGCTTCTGCCACTCCCTTTAGCTTGGAGGGCATCCAGGGTGTGCAGTCGCATGAGATACGCAGCCAGCTTTTCTGTGGCATGGCGCTTCCATCCCTTCCTGTTCACTTCCTACGGTTTTTCCTTTGCTTCATTGTAACACTCTGTCTCATTACTTTTCAGCATTTCCCTGGCCCAAAGAAATAAAAATGCAGAAGATTTCTGTTTCTTAAATGGTCTTTCCTCACACCGCCCCTTTTTCCCTGCTCCTTCCGCTCATCTAGCATCTGCCTTCTCCTTTCCATCGCTTGGGGCACCATCACATCCTGCTCTGCGACGGTTTTCCTGGGTCTCTTTGCTTTTTTTATCCCTCTTTCTCATGGACTTCTCTTTGTTTTTAATATACCAATTTTTAAATATATATAAAAAAATCTTCTTTTGCACACTGTTTTTGTCCCACCCACCCCAAAAAACCATCTCATTCTGTTATTAGATGCTTCAGAAATTCACCTGACACCTCATTATTTGCACCTATGCATCTGTGCATTCTGTATTCACTGTGAGTAACGGGGTTCGAAGAGGTCTGCTGTGTTCTCAACTGCAACTCTGGTCTGGGTGACCTGTGGCTAAAGTTTTCCCGATAGGGATTTTTTTCCAGCTCCTGCACTTGCCTTGAAGACTCTTCAACACAATGAGGGTTTTCTGTCTCTCAAGGTTGAGCTGCCCTCTGTTATGTTGTATGAAGCTGCCTCAAACAGAATCAGCATGGGGCCTTCTTAGGCCAGTGTTGGTTGTCCCTTCTTGCACCAGCTCTCCGAGATAATCGTCCAGAGAAGATCCAGGCACTGAAACGGCGATCTACATCTTAACCGTGTGCTCTGTCACTTGTGTCATGGGCCCCCTACAAGGCAACCTGTGCCCTACATCCCTGTAATCTGGACCCATGGTTCAATCTGCTGAGAGCCAGTTTTGCATCCGTGTGTTTTGAAATACGATGCAGCAGCTGGTGTGAAAACTGAACAGGATGGTCCATCTTAGGGTTCACAGTGCCACTTCAAAAAATGATGGAGCAATTTAGATCTTATCTGTGGTGGACACATTCAAGTGAAGTAATGAAAAATGAGGTGGTATCTCGGCTAGAGTACAGCAGTGGTGAATGCTGCCTTATCAATGTTGCCTTCTTAATCTAATGAGGAAGAGTGAGCCCATTTCCTTGTTGAAAGAATCCTGCATTGTACATCCCCGTATTCTTCTGCCATTCGTCATCTGGAAGTGCATTGTGCTCTGCATATGAGGACAGTATATGGCTAAAAGATGTATTGTAGCAAAATTGGGCAGGGTTATAGGGCATAGGGCATAAATCTACCCACTTTTGAGTGTACAGCCAGTGTACAAGTTAATCCTTAACCGAATAAAGCAGTCAAGGGACCTCAAGTCACCCACCTGAGTGAAATCTGCCCCTTATGGAGAATGAATTTTTATGTGAAGTGCACAGATAATAAGAAGCAAAAAGTGTGCCAGGAATAATGAAATATTTCAAGAGGCATTGCTCTGTTGTGTTTGAATTATCTTATTAGTCTCATGGTTGGAAATCGTTGGTGTAAAGTTGGGGGTTATAAATAAGCTAACGAAACGTCAATATCAAAAATATTTAATTTTTCAGGTAATACACATGGGGCACTTGAGCATTTGAGCATTTCCCCCTCTGAATGGTATAGATGCATACAATTATTATTTTTTAATGGTTGCTCCACCTCTGCTAACATTATAATTGCCTAATTTCTGGGTGTACCTGCTTAATCCAAACCTGTAGCGCAATGCTTTAAGCGCTACCGAAGAATAAACATTTCTCTCTCGCCTTTCTTGGATTTAGTTTGCCTGTTTATAACATGCTTAATTAAATCTTAATTTGGTTGGTTGTGCTTGTTTTTTCACTCAGTGTTGTTTTGTGAGATAATAATTCTACATTGGCCTCTGTGTTTGAGACTCAATTATCCGCATGTCACTATGTAGAACGATCCTTATCCCGTAAGTGTAGGCTAGCCTTAAGTTCTACCCCCTTGAAAGGGGGGAGCCATCATTACTTAAAGTGTGACTCCTCATAGTATTGACCAGCCTTCCCCAGCTTGAAGCCCTCCGTATATTTTGGACTATAACTTCCATCAGCCCTGGCCATCATCCCATCATCAACTTGATGACTAGAACTGGTGGGAGTTGGGGTCCACCACATCTGGGGGGCAGCAGCTTGGGGAAGGGTGCTCTTGACCATGAGCTGAGGTCCTTGATATCACTGGTGGCTTATAGATGTTGCACTTGAGAGTATTATCATCAACGTCTGAACTATCTGAACTGTGCTATTTTTTAAAAAAGAAGAAGAAAGAAAATGCCTTCTTAAATGCACAAATACTGTATGATAAGTGAGACCTGTAGAATTAATATAAGCAGTACACCTGCCAAGGAGTTGCTATATCCCTCTCAACCAAACACAAGAATGTTTACTATGGGATAGATCTGAAACACGGTTTATTTTCTCTTCCTCAGCCTGATCTGCTGAAACAGTCATCAGCAATAAAAAGTCCACATATATTTTGTCACTAGCATGATGACCAAGGACTGTATCTTATGTTCCCTTCCAGTGCAAGGGCTCTTGTGCAACAGCATTTCACTGGTTCAAAACATTTTGCCCGTGGAACAAGTCGTGCCTCTAAATGGCTTTAACTTAGCACTAGATTTGATACAATCACAAGGGTTTGTACTTTGCTTACACAGAAACCTGTTACTTGCTTTAAAATGTAATTTTGTTGCCCTTGCCACACAAAAAAGAAAATGGATTTATAGGTAGACCGCATACCAAACGGAAGGCATGTCTGCTTAGTTTGCATTGTGATACTAAGACCTTGCAGAACTTACTGGTTTAAGTGAAACTTCTTTCCAATGCGTAACCTCCTAACAATGCGTACTCAGAAGTAACTCGACATTATTTCAATAGGGTTTACTGCCTGTAAGTATGCTTAAGGGCAGAGAAACTGATTCTGTTCCTCTCTGCTGCATTCCTGCGTTCCCAGGAGGAAGCCTTGGGGCGTCAAACCGCCGTATGTGCCACCAGTAGGAAATGCTGTGAAAGTTAGGAGGTGCATTGTGAGTTTGCACACTGGTAATGACAGCGTATGCTATTCCGGCCATTTTCACACCAAATCCCACCCTGCTGCCTTAGAATTCAGTGCACAGAGACCCCATCATTCCAGAAATCTATTCAATATTGACATGTTGGCTCTCCCTGCAGTGGGCGTGTTGCATACTTGACAGATTTACTTCTGGTGGACCAGCTCAGGTAGACCCAACACAGCAATGTCGTTACATCATAGCTTACTCAGCCTACTCTGGGCTCCATGACATTATAGGACATTTAGAGATAGTGGTTTAGCTGTAAGCATCTGAACGTGGACACAAGTAGGCAAGTTTCTTAGATGCCCCCCCCCCTACCCTAGGTAGTTCAACTTTGGTATGAACATGTGGGGATTGTATTGCAGTCGGTATTTGAATAAGACCTTGCTTTATTGGCTGAGTGCATACTAAAAGTTACCCCATTTGATCCTCTGATCATTTTATTACTGGCTAAATTTGGTTTGCAAGAGGCACTGGGAACTGGCGGCCCTCCAGATGTTGGCTCATCAGCCCCAGCCAGTCAAGGGTGGCGAAAGTTGCAATCTAGCAAGAACTAGAGGGCCAGAAGTTCCCTGTCGCTGGTTTACAAGATCCCTCTCCCACTGGCGCTAGAATGCATGTTGGGGAGTCTCTAGAAGACTTGCTCTTTGGAATCCGTTCCCCTTTTTATTTGCCTAAGTTCTAACTCCACTTTTCTCTTTTCTCAGGTCGTAGGCAAGAAAGGAGAGAGCCACTAAAGTATGAAGAAAATGCTGGGAAGGGCCTTATTTACAATCAACATGGGATCTTCACATTTATTTCTAGCTCCTGGGAAATTGCTTGACCATAGCCAGAGAGACTGTCAGTCTGTTCCACTATAATACCATTACAAATAAATCACTGCATTTTTGTTAATAACAGGATTTCACTAAAAAGTGTTTTCTGTTGTAATCTTGGGTCATAAATTTGTAAATAAAATCCATTAATTTTGCCAAGTTGTTTAGTGCAAGATTTGCTGCATTACTTTGAAGGTGGAAACTGGACTCGGGCCTCCTCTAATATAAATATATATCTTTTGCCGAAAATGTTTAAATAACCCTTCATTTTCCCAGTCTCTGTTTTTAGAGATGGTTTTTATTCCAAGCGATTGAGGCATATTGGTTCGTCCGAATTCTCGGCACACTTCCGTAGATCTTTGTCAACTGTCTGTCAAAGTAGCTTGCTTTGAAAACAGGGGACTTCAGGGTGTGGGATCAATGCCCCTTTGACCCCTTTCCAAGGTGACCTGCCAACAAATCCCATTGGCACAAGAGCTTCTCTGCAGGTGGCAACTCCAAGGCTAGGTGGCCACGGATTTGGCCGAGGGGTTTCCAGTTGCCAACCCTTATCAGGTTTAATAATAGATGCATTTGTCCCGGTGCTTGTATTGAACTGTACATGTTCATTGAAAAAGACCTGAAGGATCTCTAACATGTTTTACACAAAGACTGGCTTTGCTGCTGCAGCAGCATCCTATATCTCTTAAGCTTATGCAAAGCTCTCTGGCTGTGGCCTCTTCCTCAGAGGAGTTTCCTATCTCCTTGTTTGCCGATAAATTGTAGTGGCTTTCCTGAATTTGTAGCAATCTTCAGATCAAATCATGTCTACTGTCCCTCTCAACTGGTGTTATTCAGAGACCCTTGTGTGGTTCTGCTGCATGAGAGCAAGAGGTATTGGTGGCTCTTTCTATGCCGGGGTTGGGTTGGGGGGGGGAGTCCTCAAATCAGATGGATGGCATGCCAGAAACATCACTAGTGCTCAGAACTTCTATGGTGATTCCTTTTTTGTGAACCGTCCTTGGCCAAGGGAGTTCCAATACAGTTCCAGTTTCTCATGCTTTGTAGCAAATTTGAATCTAGATCTCAAAACGAGCAGATCCTGGAGCAAGGTTTTGCATAGTAATGCCCCATACCTACCCGCTGTATTGCCTCATAGTGAGGTAAGATGCAGAGGGCAATAACCAACATTGCATGAGCACACTTGCTTTTCTCTTTCTGCAACTTCCCATTCCCGCCACCTGCTCCAAAAGCTCCCCCAACCCTCTGGAACAGATTTTGGACGTATACAGGGAATCAGCTCTGCTGGTGGGAGAGGCACAGTTGGATTTCACCCATAGTATGAATGTGGAGGCTGAATAGCTTTGTGTTCTGTCTGAGGCTAGTTTTGCAGAGTCTTCTTTCAGTTTTGCTACCTTCACCCCAAATCTGACCTCTCTGGGAGAAGGTGATGATCAAATATTTCTAATAACGGCACATTAGGAATCATGCTTCCCCCACCCAATGTTCTTAATATACTTTTAGTGAATTTGCTTTATCTCTCTAGAATTTCATATAGAGAAATATTCAAAGCAGATAGTTATCTTTATTGAGGGATGAGTGTCTAGGCTTGATTGTTTTAAGCCTCTTTTATAAATCTCCTTGGCACAGCTCCCCATAAAGATTTTATAAATTGTGCATTGACCGGCACCATGCCCATATGAGGTTGGTTTCTAAGTCACAGTAAGTTTTATCAAAGAGGTTTTAATTGGAATAATTACTCTGTTGACTTAAATTGGTTGCATTTTCTCTGTACAATAAATCCCAATAAGAATTTAAATCCTACCATAATTAGTATTCTGTAATTTCTATTTTGCTTTTTTGTTAAATACTGCAGGCATTTTTGTCCTGTCTTGGCAGATTTAGGTATTAATACTTAACTTAATTCTTGTGCATAAAAGTTGGACACAATCCACCAGAAATGTTTCCTGCAAAAAAGCCCTTTTGGAAAATGGTTGGGACTTAGCTAAATTGCAGGTGAAGTTGTTTTGCTTACACACCTCCCGAGACATTTTCAACAAGCGAGATCTGGAATGCATGTTGCATTGTGGCGTGCTGCTGATTAGCGTTCCAACCAGCTATGCCCCTTCCAGGCTATATCATTCCATTACCCTTCCCCACATTGTTCTCCCCTCAATTATCAGCGTTCAGCTTCCACTAAACCATATTTAGGGGACTGAGGCTTCCAACCCTTTAGGTTTTTATAGGGGAGTTTTTTGTACATCTGCAAACCTTTGGATTCCTCCAAGCCTTCTGCCTCTTTCGTGTGTGAGTGATGCCATTTGGACTCCAGAAGGATCCACTTTCAGATAATGAGTTTAATAGTGGTATATAGGTTGGAGTTTTCCCTGTGTGATAACTCCTGTGATGCTAGCGGTCTAGCTACTCTGCATCACAGTGTACCACAAGTGGTGTGAAAAGGGAGAGCTATGGCATAGACCTGGTCCTGTGCTCCTTTGTTAAGAACATAGGACTCTGTAGCCCTCCACCTTGCAGGGCCACCGGTTCCCCATCCCTAATACAGGAAGAGCCCTCTTGGATTGGACCAAAGAGCCATAGAGTCCAGCATTCTTTTCCCAATAGCAACTAGCCAGATGTTTCTGGGAGCATACAAGCAGGGTTAGAAGGCAATGCCACCCCTGGAGAAAGCAACAGCTGGGAAGTGAAAGACAACGCCATATATGGACAGAAGGAATCTCCATGGATATAACAGTTCTCAGATGCAGGGCAGAATAAAGATACTGGGGTACCTTGGTTCTCGAACTTAATCCGTTCTGGGAGTCCGTTTGACTCCTGAAACCGTTGGAAAACCAAGGCACAGCTTCCGATTGGCTGCAGGAGCTTCCTGCACTCAAGCGGAAGCCACATTGGACGTGTGGCTTCTGAAAAACGTTCGCAAACCAGAACACTTCTAGGTT